GTGGAGTTTTGAAACCTGTGTCACCTGGTTGGGGGTCGTGGTCAAAAGCGCATCATTTGCATTTAAAAGAGACAGCACCAAAACAGGTTGCTCTCAGAGCACTCAGAAAGGTGTAGAAGAAAGGCGTGGAGCTACAAATAAATGTGACTCAGACCCAGGCATTGCAGATAGGCCACAAATTAAGGATTAGATGTAAAATCAATTTTTGAAACACGATTATTGATCCACTTTAAGAGCCTCTATACAAAACATTTCTTCCTTGCCCCCTTTACACAAGTCCTCAACATAACGCTTTTAATTTCAAGTCATGCTGATTGTTGCACAAGAGCTTTGTCTCATTGAGAAGGAGATGTTGTTGCCCTCAAACTTGACACTTGACCATCTATGTGTTTTTTTTAACTAGGACGCTTTAGCAAAGCACAAAACATACTTGTCTTTTGAAGGGTTGAATTTAATACCCCAGGTACCTTGGAGTTGACCGTACCGGGAGTGAGGAGTGGTGATCCTCCGGATTAATTGGAACACACCCTCTCCGGGTCCCCCTTCTTGTAGAGTGGGACTACCACCCGGTCTGGGCCACTCCATTGGCCAAGACAGTCATACAACATGCAGAAATTGTGGGTGGAAGTATTCCTTTCCCTCCGTCCCAACAGTATCTCGAGTTCAAGGTCAGCACCCCACCACTCGTATCAAAAGTTGTTGCTTCCCCCTCTGAGGCGCCAGACGGTTTGCCAGAATCTTTTTCGAGGTCCGACCCGATAGTCATGCTCCATAGAACCTCTTCGAAATCCGTCCCGTCCTGTGGTTTGGCAGTGTGCAACAGCCCGGCGGCGGCACGCTTGGGCCGGCGGTACTGGGACAGCTGCCGTCAGGAGTTCCGCGAGAACCATCATGGCTCGTATTAGGACCTCCTTCAGCCTGACGGCATTCCCTTATACCGGTGCTCACCACGGGTTTGGGATTTGTCGCCAGACCAGCACCCCAGGACCTTGCGACCACAGCTACGAGCCACGCATCGGTGGATAGAGGTGGAAAACATGGAATGGTCCACTCGGACTCGATGTATCCCCCTCCTCACCGGGACCTCGGAAAGAATACTCTCCGGGGGACCAATGTCCATAAATGTGTAATAAAATGTTTTGATTGTCAAAACATAGATTTAGAGGAATATAGGTCCAGGCAGAATATATGTGAAATACACGTACTAGATCGTCCTAACACCTAACCACCTGGACCTGGACCCCTCCTGTAACCATGCATTTCTGTATATGGTACCAAATGGGAGCCCTAGTGTTTACTCCAATCTGTGGCGCTTCTTCAGTGACGTTGGAATACTGCTAGCAGCTCTAAAAAGCTATAAAATGTAACGCAGTCCGTCATTACCACATTTTTTTGCTCAAATTTCATTATCAGCTTCCTCCTCCCCTACCTGGGCTGAGTGACAGCCTGGGCTGCTCCCCGAGACAGAGAATTGAAATAACAAACGCACACAAATGTGGACACTGCTATAAAGACTAGCTCTGGCTTCTCCATATTAAATTTTCATTGAACCATGGAAATGTTTGTTTTGATTCATAAACATAGCTTAAATCTGATGCCGCCTGCTCCCACTAGCGAACGAGAGGACAAGTGATAGTCAGGCTACGGGAGGAGCAATGAGGAGGGCGTGTAAATGTTAGAGAATCAAATTTATGGATTAGGGTTCTATCTTCAAGATGTCTGTCCCCTAACATTTATTGTCTTGGGGCCATTTACCCTAAAGCCCCCATTGAACACAAGATTCAGATTCAGTTTATTTGCCGTGAGCAGTTAAAAACCACTTTGGAACTACATGTGCATGACATCCCCTTAGTGTTGCACTCTAGACAAGTTAATAAAATAAAACAAGCAAAAAGAAGTAACTTAGAAGAGTAAAGAAAACATCGTAATGTGATGACTAAATCAAACAAATTACTCAATACATGATCATTAAGTGCTTTGCTCAGACTGAGAACAACTGAAAGAAGCGGGGTCCTCTCTTTCTTCTGGTCTCTCTCGGGGTTCACTCGTGTGGGTCTCTCTCTGGTCTCTAAAGCCTAGTGTGACTGGTCGCGGGCCGTGCTTACGTTAGCGGTTGCGGTTATGTCCTACGTTAAGCACAAGTGGACGTTATACTGGCTGCGTTCCCCTTACGGAGTTTTTGAGGAGAACCGTGTGTTGTTTTATTTGTTTTTTTTATGTTTTTTGAGTGTATTGTTTTGGTGTAATTGATTGTATTTTAGTCTTTTTTTGTTTTTTTTTTTGTTTTGTGTTAAATCCCACAACAACCACATTGAGGGCGATCACTCACAGGACGGCGGGTCCATGTCGCTTGCTACTTGTCCTCTTCCGAACAACATAGCCAAAACAAAGCTGTTTGAGTCTCAGTATCACGTGTTTCTACGGTAAGGTTTATGTGATAGTTTTATGGATTCATTATTTTAATAAGTCATTTCACCTTGTGATGCTTGTGATTAAAGACACGTTCTGGTTGGAGGAAACATAGTTTATTATTTAATTGTTTTCATGCACTAAACAGCAAAACAATAATAGTGGTTAATATTGGGGACAAACCATGAACGATTACGAGTGCAGGAGGAAAGCAACAAAACGCAGCTACGATTAAAGCAAGACAGGACAACAGTTGGCAAAACAAACGACTGCACAGTGTAATAAGCTATATATAGTTAGATAGTCCACAGTTTCTGGTATATCAGGCTTGAGCCCAAACTGCTTTTCCTTCCAAGAGCACAATGGCTCTCTGCTCCATTAGTGCCTCGTCCATGTCCCTGCTGCAGCCGCTCCGTGCTTCCCTTCCAATACACACACACGGACCAATCATTCCAATCAATCCAATCCACTTTTTTTATTTGACATTTAAACACAAAACGTTTCCAAAGTGCTTGAATACAACATAACAATAAAACAAAAACAATACAAAATGAGTTCCACATAATTAAATAGAAAATCAGCGGAGCTTCGCCTTACGGCGAGCCCGCTTACGTAGTTAGAAAATTTCGAGGGGGCCTGGCGGGGTGAACCAGAGACGCGTTGCGCTATGGTGACAGTCACGTACCTCCGTAAGCTACCGCGGCCTGCTTGCGAGTAATAACTAGGCTTAAAGTGTTTTTATTTTTTTTTCTCCGGAAAGGCTCTCTAACAAAAACACTTCTGTCCAAAGTGAAATACACATTGCCCTGAACCATTATATTCATTTTCTTATGGTCTCTGTGTGGGCCACGTTTAATACTAATAAACTATCCTCCTGGGGGTGGTAAAGATAATTCATTTGGGTGCCGGACCTGGCCCCCGGGCCTTCTTGACTTTGGACACAAATGCCATTGAGTGTGAGAACATGTCCTCTACGGGTCTCTCTCTGATCTTTGTTCAGACTTATAACTGCTTGGTGGAAAGAAGTGGTCTCTCTCTGGTCTGTCTCTCTCTGGTCGCTCTTGGGTCTTTCTCTGGTCTCTTTTCTGGTCTCTCTTGGTCTCTAATCTTCCTCTCTGGACTCATGGTCTCTCTTGGTCTCTCTCACTTTTCTTCTACGTTTCTTTCTTTCTGCTCTTCCCGCTTTCTGTTCTCTCGCTCTTCTCGCTTGGTCTCGCTCTCTCTTGCTCTCTCTGGTCTTCTCTCTCTGGTCAATCTGGTCTCTCTGTGCTCTCTCTACGCTGTTCTCTCTGTTCTCTCTTATCTCTCTCTGGTCGCTCTCTCTCTTCTGATCTCTCTCCGGTCTCCTTTTTTTCTCTGTGATGTTGCGAACCACAGTCACAAAACTAACAAAGAAAACTTTTTGAGGGTGCAGCAATAAGGTTCAGCAGAGTCAGAGTTTGTGCTACAACAATCTAGAACAAACAATATTGGTGTGTTCATTACTGTATAGTTTTATAATGATTGTCTGTGACCTTATCGTTCGATTGTCGACCTAAATGTATTGTTAGATTGTACAATAAAAAATCACATAAAAAGCAGTTCGTTAAATTACATGTGAATGATCTCTGTCCTTTCACTTCTACCTTGACATTAAAAACCACTGATTCTGGTTATCGACGAAGTCTCGCTCTTGGAACAAACTATCGATCAGGCGTTGCTCTAAGGACACAGGTGCTCTAACTATTGGGGTGCGGGTTTAAAAAATGGCCCCGCTGTTATTGCTCCCGTGCTCAGGGAGTTTATTATGGTAGTAATTTTGCATCTGTGAGATGGCCTGTTGGGATCCATAAACACAGTCTGTGAGCCTTGTTTTTGAGATGCTCATGGGAACTAAGTTTGGGAAAACTCCTGCTTCGACTTTGGGTCCGGTTCTTTCAGCCCTTTAAAGAGCTAATCTTTTGCTCTGGCCTCTAATTGGATTGTTCCCCGGTTCATCTTGTCTGGAGTGTGTGCGTAAAACAGGAGGAAACAGCTTTCATGGTCGGTGCGGTTGAAAAAGAAAGACAAGAGGAGAGTGATTAAAGACAATGTTGTCTGAACAGGAAGAAGTCTTTAGACATTGCTCTCATGTTTGACTTTAGTGCAAAACAGGAGAGACTAACGCTGAAACGCCATTCTCTAGTTTTCAGAGCAGGGTGTCTTCAGACTAGAAGTCCTGTGTGCGCGCCGGGAGGGTGGAGGAACGTAGCCTTTGATGCTAACAGAGTTTAGCTAGCGGCTTATTGTGAATGATCTTCTCCAATAATGGCAGTTCTGCGCGTTTTGTGTGATTGTTGTTGTGTGGGTAGGGGACCTTCCAAGGAATTTATATAACAGCAGTATGTGGTTCACGGAGGTGCGCAATACGTTTATTTTATTATTAAAAGGTATTTCGCATCGGGCGAACACACTTCGAAGCAGTTGCATAAAGGTCACGGTTGGAGCATGAAAACTCACATGTTTTACAAGCACTATGTCCCCCACATGTCAACCCTGGTTTAGTCCTGGGTTTAGTCCTGGGTTGGTAGCTCCTGTTTTGGCTGTTTTACTAGTATTTTCAGTCTACTCGCTTAGACCGCTGAATGTCTCCGTTCGACCACTTTGCGGCTCTCTCTGATCTGGTTGCTGCCGAGCGTCCCGAGGACCCCCCCCCCCCCCCCCCCCCCCCCCCCCCCCCCCCCCCCCCCCCCCCCCCCCCCCCCCCCCCCCCCCCCCCCCCCCCCCCCCCCCCCCCCCCCACCCCCCCCCCCCCCCCCCCCCCCCCCCCCCCCCCCCCCCCCCCCCCCCCCCCCCCCCCACCCCCACCCCCCCCCCCCCCCCCCCCCCCCCCCCCCCACCCCCACCCACTCCAAAAGTCAGCAAAATTCATCTCTTGGTTCCCTCCCCGTTCGACTTCCAGCGCGGGGTCAGTTCGTGCATTTCGAGACGCTTGTGCGTTTAGAGGCCTCAATAACGGCCCATCACGATGACTTTGATTGAAAGCCACGCAACGATTGATCCACAGGTATGAGCGCGGCTTAAGGCAAGTAGTTGTGATGATCCAGGACACTTCCTCATTCAACAATATACAGTGGGGCAAATAAAGTATTTAGTCCGCCTCGATTGTTGCAAGTTCTCCCCACTTAAATAAAGTCAGAGGTCTGTAATTTTCCATCATTGGTACACTTCAACGATGTGAGAAGAGAAACAGGAATGTGAAAAAAAAAAATCCAGAAATTCACATTGTTAGAATTTTTACTGAATGTATTTGTAAAGTTTGGTGGGGAAAATTAAGTATTTGGTCCTGCAAACAGGGAGATCTCTGGCTCTCACAGACCTGTTAACTTCTTCTTTAAGAAAGCTCTTCTGTCATCCACCTGTTACCTGTATTATGGCACCTGTTTTTAGTCGACCGTGGCGCCTAGAGAGGTTTAAACTCGTTATCTGTTATGAATAGATAGCCCAAATGTAACCCAAAACGATATTTCAATCATCTGATAATCTCCCTCGATCGGGCTCACGCGATCTCATCCCGTGGGGTCAAATATGATTATGGAACGGTGATCAAAAATCAGAACCACACGGGGGGACCTGTGTGAATGACCTGCAGAGAAGCTAGGGACCATCAGTTAACACATACGACGACAGGATAAATCCTGCAAGTGCCAGCGTTCCCCCTGCTGAAGCCAGTGAATTTTCAGGCGTCTGAAGTTTGCCTGAGAGCACATGGATGATACAGCAGAGCTGGGCGAGAATGTCATGTGGTCTGATGAATTGAAAACCAAAGTAGAACCCTGTTTGGTATAACTCAACTCGTGTGTGTGATTGGAGAAAGAGTTGCATCCCAAGAAACACCATACCTACTGTGCAGCTTATGGGGGTGGAAACGTCATGCTTTGGGGCTGTTTTTTGTTAAGGGGACAGGACGACTGATCGATGTTAAGGGAAAAGAATGATTGGTGGCATGTATCGTGAGATTTTGAGCTCCAAACCTTCCTTCATTGCGGGTTGAATTCTGGTTATGGCCAAATATACTTATTTTCACCATAATTTACAATTAAATTCATTTAAAAATCCTACAATGTGAATTCCTGGATTTTTTTTACTTCGACTCTCACAGTTGATGGTGTTACTATGATGAAAATTACAGCCACTGTCATTATGTTAAGGTGGGAGAACTTGCACACATCGGTGGCTGCCTAAAATACTTTTTTGCCCCACTGTATATTGTTGAAATGTGGAGTGTCTGGCTCATCCACTACTGCCCTTATGCGCGTTCAGACCGGATCATTCGTTGCGGTGGCTTTCAATGCAAGTCAATAGTGATGGGGCGTTTGGCCTCAAAACGCACAAGCTGTCTCGGAATGCCACGCATGGCCGCGCTGGAAGTCGAAGGGGAGGGAACGCATGAGATGAATTTTGGCTGAACCTTTCTCGGGACGCTCGTGCAGCAACCACTCAGAGAGCCGCATAAGGGGTCACGGGACATTAGCGGTCTAAAGCGTGTAGACTGAAAATACTTGTAAACAGCCAAAACAGAGCTACACCAGGACTAAACCAGGGGACTAAACCAGGGTTGACAGTGGGGGACATAGTGCTTGTTCTCATGTGGAGTTTGCTTGCTCCCGTGACTTTATGCAAACTGTTCGAGTGTGTTGGCTCCATGCGGAAATACCTTTTAATTAATAAATTATAACGTATGGGCACCTCCGTGAACACATACTGCTGGTATATAAAGTGCCGTGAAGGTCCCTGAACACACACACGCTGCCAAGCTGCATTATGGAGAAGATCTTTACACAATAAGCCGCTAGCTAAACTCTGTTAGCATCAAAGGCTACGTCCTCCACTCCGGGCGCACCAGGATTCTAGTCTGAAGACCCCTGCGTCTGAAAACGAGAGAATGTGCGTTTCAGCGTTAGTCTCTCCTGTTTGCAAATACCACCCCCCCCCCCCCCCCCCCCCCCCCCCTCCCCCTCCCGTCAAACATGAGAGCATTGTCTAAAGGACTTCTCCTGTTCTAGGACAAACATTGTCTTTAATCAACTCTCTCTTTCTTCTTTCACCGTCACGACTTGAAAGCTGTTTCTCCTCTCGTTAGCACACTAATCCAGAAGATGAACGGGGACAATCCAGATTAAGCCTCAGAGCAAAAGTTTAGCTCTTTAAGTGCTGTAAATGAACCGGACATCAAGGCGAAGCAGGAGTTTTCCCAAACTTAGTTCCTTGAGCATCTCAAACAAGTCAACAGACGTGTGTTTATGGGATCACAACAGGATTCTCAGAGCAATATTACCCTTATTAATCTCCTGAGCACGGAACATTAACGGGCCCTTTTTAACCCGCCCAATAGTTAGAGCTCCAGTGTCCTTGAGCAAAAGCGCTGATCGAGCAGTTGTTCCAGAGCGCAGACGTAGGGTCGATACCAGAATCTGTGGTTTTTTATGTCAAGGTTTAAGGGAAAAAAAGTATAGGAACAGGAGATCATTCACTTGTAATTTAACAACTGCGTTTTATGTTTTTATGTACAATATAACCATAATTAGGTCTTATCGGCGATAATGGTTCACACAAATCATTATAAAAACTATACAGTAATGAACACAACCATTTTGTTGTTCTTATTGTTGTAGCACAAAATCTGACTCTGCTGAACCTTTATGCTGCACCATCAAAAGTTTCTTTGTTAGTTTTGTGACTGTGTTCGACAACATCACAGAGAAAAAAAGGAGACCGGAAGAGAGATCAGAGAGAGAGAGCGTCCTGAGAGAGAAGAGAGAGAAACAGAGAGAACAGCGAGAAGAGAGACTGAGAGTCCAGATAGTGACAGACGAGAGAGACCAGCAGAGAGGCAGAGAGAGAGCGAGACCAGAGCGAGAAGAGCGAGAGAACAGAAAGCGGGAAAGAGCAGAAAGAAGAAATTGAAGAGAGAAAAAGGGAGAGAGACCAGAGAGAGAACAGTGAGTTCAGAGAAGATGAGACAAAGAGGACCAGAAAAGAGGACATGAGAAAGACCCAAGAGAGGACCAGAGATGAGACAGCCAGAGAGAGACCAGCTTCTTTCCACAAAGCATTATAAGTTGAACAAGAGAATCAGAGAGAGACCGTAGAGACATGGTCTCTATCTCAATGGCATTTGTGTCAAAGTCAAGGCCCGGGGGCCATGTCCGGCACCCTAATGAATTATCTTTACCCCCCAGGAAGATGATATTTTCTTTAGTATTAGAAATGCCCACACAGAGCCATAAGAAAATGAATATAATGTTCAGGGCATGTGTTGTCACTTTGATAAGAAGTGTGTTTTTGTTAGATGGCCTTTCGGAGATATTGTAAAGGCAATGAAAGTGGCCAGGCCACTGAAGGGGATTTCCCGCTGGTCAACCTTATATTAACTTATGTAATTGAAATAGATGGAAGTTATTGTTTTTTGCTGCTAGTCAGACTTAACCCTTTAACGTTCACTCCTTCAAGAAAGCAGTGTGACTTGTTTTTTAGTTTTTATTCTTTTTCTAAGATGTAGGCGCACTAATAACACAATTTTCTTTTATTTTTTAACCCCTAGTTTTTTAATTATACAGTAGACCTTTACCAAATGGTTGAGATGCAGTTTGACCAAGAGATAGAAAGGCCCTGTAGATACAGGTACTCAAAATGTGATTCACCAAATGGTTGAGGAAACGTCCTATAAAGAGTTTTAATGCTGTTTTTTAAATGTATTATTATTTTGCATACTTGAGATCCTCGAGTCATGTTTTGTCGCTTTGGGCTGAGCTAATTAAGTGAGGGGGGTCCTCTCTTTATTCTTTTATTTCCAGTCTGAAAAAGTTGTTATGACAGAGGCAAAACGTACATTCAAAAGCGTGTGAAACTAGTGATATTGAACCAAAATGTTTTCGACAGTCAGACTTGAGATGGATTTGTACATGGTTCCAAATCCAATTGCTGTTGATCGAAAGTCATGTTTGACTGATGTATTAAAATGTGAGTTCATTATTTTATGGTATGGATGAAGACGTTTAGGAATCAACACGTTTATTTGTTGAGTGGGATAGACACCCAAAATGCTGGCTTTAAAATGGATTTCAGCCTCTGGTTTCATGCAACACTGTTTGTACCCTTTTCATATTCAAAAGTTATAATATCTTAAATTTAATTTGCTAATCGCTATGGCAACTGCTCTAGTTAATGATCATCCTAGGACCCAAAAACACTAGGAATCTGGCATCTGCATATTCTGGGGGTTCTTTATAAATCCTATCTCTTGTTGATGTGATGATTAACTCTTATAATGATTGATAATATGATTAGCTCTTATAATAATAATAATGCATTGTTTTTTATATAGCTCTTTTTTGGACACTCAAAGACGCTTTACATGTTATTCATTCACTCCATACACGGTGGTGATAAACTACTGCTGTAGCCACAGCTGCCCTGGGGCACACTGACAGAAGCAAGGCAACCAGTATGTATGTGCCATCGGCCCCTCTGACCACCACCAACCATTCACACACACACCAGACTCATTCTAGGCAATTTGGGTGACATGTCTTGCCTAAGGATATACAGTAACAGCAGTTTGGCTACTGTCGCCCTATTCTTAGAATAATCAATGACTCTTCTGGCCACCCTGGAAAAGCCTTGTTCCAGCTTCTTCCCTTTGGAAGAAGATATCGTTCGCTGAGATGCAGGACATCTCGATATGCTAACAGCTTCTTCCCACAGGCCGTTATCAGTTTGAACAGAGCACTTTAATGATCTTGCCTTTGTACTGAAACTGTTTTAGTCGTTTGATTTCACAGTTGTCAATTGTTCACTGTTTTGTTTGTTTTATTTCAGTACTTTTAACCTTATTTTATGTATGTACTTGTTTTGTGCACACTGGGGATTTTTCCAAATGTATTCCAATGTGGGTTTACTGCAAATGGCAAATAAATGAATCTGAATCATAGCAAAGTTATAAATATAGTATTCTCATTCTGTAATGTAATGAAATGTAATTGAGTTTTTTTTTCCAGAAATTGTTCATGAAACAGGCCCAAAATGGAGGGTGGAGCTACTGTATAACTATATAGGAGATAATGGATTGCTAAAATCAATAACATACAAAAAAATAAAGAAAAAGATGTAGGGAAATTGTGGGGAGCCGGGTCGCTGTATAGAGTCCTAGTTATTCTACTTTTGTGACTAAAGAGCAACTAAGAACCATTTAAAGTAACAATTCTAAACTGTGTGTTTTGCTGTATTTCACCATATTTTTCACTCTTGCTCTACATTAGTAACACAACCATAAGCCCACAAACAAATCTAACCTCTAAGAACCCGACCAGCACCACTTCTGCAGAGTCGACGAAGGCCTCCACAGCTTTAGTGTCGTTCAGACGAGGGGGGACATTATCTGCAGAGACAAAACACACCATGCAGGCACTCTGTCAGGACGTGAAGAGCGGAGAACTGGGCTTACCTTTGGCACATGCACAAGTCAGCAGTAAGGAGAAAAACACTGTCCCCAGCATTTTTTATTATTTTTTTACAAAGAGAATGAGGCAAAGCAAAGAAAGGTTAGTTGACCCCAATAGGCTTTTGTGCAAGTGCAACTGTGTGACAAGGTGCTGGCTCCACGCACATTGTAGAATTCATGGGAACAAACAGGTGCTGCTGATAAGTGTGTTGAATTTTGGGATTACGTGTCGTCAAATCTATGGAGCACGTCACTGTATGCTCTGAAAATCATATCTCAATGAGGTTTAGTTGCTCAGTAGGGGTTCGGTAAAGGGTCCACTGTGCCTTGTTTGTGGCATCACAGTCCTCTTCTTGAAAATATTGCTCCCAAAATGTCTGGGTTACATAAATCCGCTGCCGATGGTGGTGGGAGGAAGCTTAGGACTGGAGTTCTACAAATAGCCAGAGAAGAGACCAGTGGCTCTGCACAGGAGTGTACGCACTGCAGTATGAGAACTCACCACAGGGGGGAGAGGGGGGATTAACATACATCAAGCACCATAACATACATGTTAGTGAGTCTTACAGTCAATAATGAATACAGAATATGACTTTGTATATAATATTATGCATGGAGTTTATAGATTGTCAATAAGATCCTTTTATCATCACACAGTTGGGTTGGATCTATTATAACATGGGTTCAGTGTTGCATCAGTGTTGTGTAATGGTAATAGCAAAAGTAGTTACTTGAGTTTGGGCTCGAATAATGAATGAATTGTAATAGTATTTACTAAAAGTACTAATAGGTCCTAATAAGATGTGTGCCGATACACTGTAAAAAATACAACTCAAAATGGTTCACCTTACTAAGATTTTTGCATTCACTGACAATAAAATTGCCAGTTGGAACTGCAACTGTCTGTTGTGAGCCTCTTGAACTCACTTTCAGTTCCTGATGAAAAGTTCATCTTATTTGATATATTAAGTTAATTTTACTTTGAAGTTGTAGTGAACTTCTGAAAGTGAGTTCAAGTGGCTCACAACAGACAGTTCAAGTTCCAACTGGCAATTTTATTGTCAGTGAATGCAAAAATCTTAGTAAGGTGAACAATTTTGAGTTGTCGTTTTTACAGTTCACCGAGCTAGAGTGAGGTCAACTTATCTTTGCTCATTTAAAGGGGACATATCATGAAAAATCCACTTTTTGTGTCTTAAATGCCTTATTTTGTGTAGTTGGAGCCTCTAGAAGTGCAAAAAAGTTGAAATCAGTCTCTTCATGGGTTGCAGAGAACACTTCATATTCTGTTTGGGTAAGATTTTTCAACCCGTTCTGATTTTGCCATTCTCTATTACGTGTTTAGAATTATTACGTCACAGTATTTGCAGCGGGACTGCTATATAAGGGCATGGGCGTTTAACAAAACACTTCGGCCCAGCCCTCCTCCACTGTGCATCACTTCGAATTTGTAGTCCAAGCTCAAGGATGCCAGCGCACAGGGCTGGACTGGCCATCGGGCGTACCGGGCAATGCCCAAAGGGCCGATGCCCATATTTGGGCCGGTCTGTCTGCCTCATACAAAACACATGTTTATGAGAAGTGTAAATCCGTTGAGAATTGTTCGAGGGGGCGCGCGTATCCGCGGGGCACCTGCTGTATGTACTCGAACGGGATTCCGCCACCTCAGCGGCCGCAGTGTTCTGGGGCATCTGCAGCCGCTTTGTAATGAGCAGCTTCCGCGTCCAGCGGCTGCGAGAGGCTGTGAGCGTCCAGCCGCTCGTAGCCGCTCCACCGTGTTGTGGCTGAGCGCGCAGCCTCAACGTGGCCATGTACCCAACCCCATAAACGCGCACAGGACCATGCGTGTCTTTGAGTAATCTGTGCACCCAATAAATACACTGCTGCAGGAAACAGTCCGCGTCTCCCCTCTCCTCTCGAAGCGCGATTAAATGCCCTAAATAAAGCTCTGATACCTACATTTTGCATTGCATTAAAAACTCATGTTTGAGCCCAAAAGTAATATGTTGTGAACAAATTAAACAGATTTAGAGCCAGCAAATGGCTGACAATATGCATTTCAGTCTTTTTTGACCAATTCTCATCCCTGTAACAAACAATAGTGTTGTCTGTGTCCACCTCCCTCACTCTGAGACATGTTTATTACTCTCTTGTAATGTAGACTATTGCATTTTATATTATTGTTGAAACTGCATATCCTGATCCTCTACAGTATTTGCTTCCACATACTGTATAAACTAGGAGTCGGCAACCTGCGGCGGGGCATGGGTGAATGCGTCTTTTTCCTTCTGTAGAAGGAAAAATGTTCTTGACGTTTTTAAAAGCTGTAAAATTGTGCATAAGTAATATCAATTAAACATTTCTGTCCAACCGTAGTCGATCATATCCTGCGACGTATGCCCCGACCAGGCGGCCGCTTTGTAAACAGAAACCGGCATGTGAGCTCTGCTTGTGTACAATTCTCTCCAAGCCTCACGCTCCAAAATAAATTAGTGACATGGAAGTACCATACGAACCATCCCGGACGCTGAGGAGCACAGGGACCTGGACTCTGCGGGACTCTGAGGAGCCACAGGGACTGGACTCCTGCTGGACTCTGAGGAGCACAGGACAGGACTCCTGCTGGGACTCTGAGGAGCACAGGGACTCGGACTCCTAGTGACCAGAGGCAGAACTAAACATGGGGAGGCTGCTTTTTCAGATTCATGCTGCTAAATTGGAACATCTTCCTGAAGATGTGAGACAGGCCTCCTCCTCTGACAATGTTTAAAACCAGTTAAAAACAGTTCTGTTTAGCTGGCATACAACTGAGGATTTATATTTTATCTTTCTTTTAATGTTCTGTGATTATTTATTATTTTAATGCTTTCAAATTTTTATCAGGCACTTAGAAAATTGCCTTGTGTATGTAATTGTGCTATATAAATAAACCTTGGTGCCTATTGACAGTGCGCAGGATCCACAAAGCTAAAAAAGAGAAGTAGTCGATAATAAGACAGGACTAGAATGAAAATTAACATTTGCTTTCCAGTCAATGAGGAAGCCTGCTTCATGTTGCGATGTAATGAGAAGTTTCTATAGAAAATTGTATCTGTGCTTAGAAACTACAAAAAGCCAGCTCGGGGTGGAGATGAACCTGGTGTCCCTGGATGGGGGGGTGGTCAAAACTCCCTCATTTGCATTTAAAGAGACGCACCAAAACAGGTTGCTCTCAGACGCACCTCAGAACAGGTGTAGAAGAAAGTCCCGTGTAAGCAACAAATAATGAGACTCAGCCCCCGGCATTCAGCAGTTACGCTTTATAATAGGACCACAAAAATAATGGATATTAGATGTAAAAATCAATTATTTGAAAACACCGATATGACCACTTTAAGAGTTATTCTTGTCGATGGCAGAGGTCTTTTTGACAGTAGTGTCCAACAGAAAGGATTGGTGATGATCGAGGACACTTTAGCATTCTTACAACATATATGTACATTTTCGTGTGCATTATATTTTCATGTGTTTAACTGTTTATTCTCTGACCTGTGTTGGTGATTCAATGATTTTGTAAAGTCCTCTGAGATGACTTCTGTTGTGACCTAGGGCTATACAAGAATAAATTGTATTGTATTGTATTGTATTGTACTGGTTTGACAGGGTGTTTTAAATAACCTCATGACGTCCACCGGACTCATGATTAAGTATAATTTTAGCTCCTCATAAATCAATATACTGTGGATTGTGAGTGAGTGTCACAATATGTCGGTTTAATTGGTGTAATTCTGCGTTCTCCCAGACACCACCTGCTGCAGCCTCAGGTGTGGGGTCTGGCAGTGAACCCACACTGTCATGTAAAGACTTCTGTAAACGCTGTAAAGTCTGATTAGCTTGGTACCAGCTGTACCGCCATCTCATCTCTTCCTAACCCCCATACCGAAACAATGCAAATACATTTTAGAGGCCAAATCTCCTTTTTTCGTCCCATTGATAACACTAATTAACTCGCATTAGGTAAGGACTCGCATAGGAAGAGAAATTGGTTCTATATTTGAATGCAATTTCTTTATTCTATTTTAATTTATGAAACTAGTTTGAACCGAGAGTCTAAAGCATTAATCCCTTATTTGGTGACTTCCTATACCACAATGGCAATAAAAATAATTCTGATTATTGATTCATGATTAAACACACTAGTTGGACTTAGCAATCACCTATTCACCCTGAACCAGCATCCAAAAAGATTGGGAATTCTTCAAGGCCTATAACATCACACCACACATGTGCTAAGACGCCTTACAGGAGTTGATCTTCCTCCTGCTCCCTGCTGGCAAACATTGGACGTAGAACACTTTATACTACTATTGATCATGCCCAATCTCCCACAAAAATTTTGCAAAAAAGACTTTACATGAGGGACTCCCCCTACACAATTCATTGTTAATCTTGCAGAGTGGACTCACAATTTACAATATTAATTTGTTCCCAGTACAAATGTGAAGCAAGAGAAGGGAACTAGCATGGGGGGGTGCGGGTAGCTTTTTGCCCTTAACTATGCAGGGGTAACTGGGTGTGTGGGAAAGAACGGGTGTGTTCAAAGACAGTAACCATTTAAGCTTAAAATCTAAAGTTCAGTTTTACATTGATGATCTGATGATTGTCTTCACCCCCCCCCCCCCCCCCCCCTCAGTCTCCCCGAACAATGGCTGGACAAATCCAAATGCTGGCCTCCGCCTCAGATAATGTAACAATTGTGGACTATTTTTGTGGATCTAAAATGGCACGTGCAGAATGAAGAAGAGACAAAGTCCTGGGGTTGTGTCTTTCATTCAGACAGAAGACATGTTATTGAGCTGGACGTAGCTCACAGCATGGACCATCACTACCTCTCAGACCGACCACAGTAACGTGGCGGCTGCGCAGCCTGTGAGTCTGAGGTGTCGACTGCAGCACTGGTGCCCCTCACGGGCAACTGTCCTCCTCACCGATTCTCTTCACCATCTACACTCAGACTTCACACACGACAAACACAGCCTGTATCACCTGCAGAAGTTCTCACTACGACTTCCCGCC